TCGCTAGCCGCCGCCGTGGTGGCAGCCCTTCGAGACCTGTAACCACAGGCTCCTTCCTGCAGCCGGGACAGCTGCGCCTTGGCCGCCCCCAAGGCAAGAGCTTTGTCCCCAGCCCTTCGCGGGAGCGGAGAGAGGCCCTGCAGCTGCCTCGACAGACAGCCCCCCCGGGTTTTATTTCAGGACCTGACACCCCGCGCGTGGCTGCGTGTGGGCGCGGGTCCCGACTCCTTGCTGTCATCTCCCGGCGTCCGACGCCGCCGTCCAGCGAAGCAGCTGGACGTGCAACTCCACGGTGAGAGGCACGGGCTGGGTTTCTTCGTCCTCTTTCATTTCAGGAGATTCCTTGCGTTTCCCTTTTCCTGGAGAGAGAGTTCATCAGTCGCGCGGTCCCTAGGGAATCCCTCCGCGCCCCACGAGCTGCTGCTGCCGGTCCGGGGCCTGCACACGGGTCTCGTGGACCGCAATCGCAACCCGGATGACGCGACGACGCGAAAGACGCGGCACGGTTTTGGGTTCCTATTTTAGAGTCGCTCAACAGCCCTACTTCCCTAGCTGCACAAATTAACAGTTGCGAGAAACACAGATAATCTGTTTAGGGGTAAAATCGCCTTTTAGGTGCTTCTCGCCAGCCCGTGTGGGATCTATGGTTCGCACCTGAGCTGTGGAGCTACAGCCACCTCTTTGCCTGTGGACCTGCAACCAAAGGGAATCAAATCCTTCCAGAAGCTGGTGCACAAAGCTGGCTGAGCCAGAGGTATTACTGGCCTGTTACACTGCCTCCCCATGCTGGCACTCAAGGAAATGGCTGGCAGGCCCTAATCCGTTAAAACTGCAGGAAACACCAAGCTAAAATCTGCTTTATCTGTATGGCTTTGCCAAATCACTGGCACGGCACTGAGCTATTTATTGTGCACCAGCCCCCACCAAGGGTTTGCAGCTGTTGGCACAGAGGAGCTTACATCTGTATGCGTGCAAGTAACAGAAATGAGAAGGAAACCACAGGCGCCTGGCTCCGGTGTGGTTTGCTGCACACAGGTATCGTGGGATGGGCTGGCACCGTGTTTGTGGCATCCTTCTCTGGGTGGTGCCTGGGCAGTGACCCAACTTGGGCACGGCTTCCTGGAGCTTGCAGCTTCCGCGGATGCGTAGCGTTCATTTCAAATGTGCGCTCTGTTCAAAAGCTATCCTTACCTGCAACTCCTGCTCGGGCTGGACAAGCCACTGGCTGGAAAGAGGCTGGCACACTGCCTTCCGGAGCACGCACCAGCCGGGGGAATTGGAGAGCTACTCAGGGGTACAAAAAGCTCTTTCCTCAGATGCCGCGGGTGTCCCCCATTGCTCTCACCACTCAGAGGTGGGAGATCAGAGTCGCAGAGGAAGGACTGGGTTGTGAAGGGGTTAAGTGCCTTGCCCAGGTGAGATGGTAAGCCAGTGGCAGAGCTGGGACCAGAAGCAAAGACTGCCAACCCCTACTTGAAGGACCAGAGAGCCTGTCCCCCCAGTGAAGCAGTCTGCCAAGCAGGACCCTGGGGATCTACTCCCAGCCCTGCCACAGACTCGCTGTGCGATCTCGGACAAGTCACTTCCCCTTCATAAGTCCCAGGGACCACGGCTGTGCAATGGAAAGAGTAATACTTAGGCATCTTGATCTGCAGACGAAAAACACTGTGAGACTGCTAGGTGTCAGTCCTGGCCGTGTGCGACTGCTACATAACACCCTCAACTAGGTCAGCTAGTTCACATCCTGGACTAGACAGACGTACAGCGTATGTTCGTGCCCCAGACGTACAGTGTGCGTGCAGATCCCGGTTCAGCAAAGTTTAATTGTAAGCGTGAGAACAGTTCCCACTAGCTCAGTGCAAGATCCCGCGTACTCCAGGTGAGGACCTTGCTGCACAGCGGGAAGGGGGAGGAAGCTAATGCTCCCTCAGGCCAAGTTGGGTTTCTCGTGGATGCAACATGCCATACACGCAGTAAAAACGGTGACAGCTTACACAGGCCCACCCCCCATTACCTTTGGCAGGTGCCGTGGGTTTCTGGCTTGCTGTGCTTTCTCCCTCTGGTTTCGGCTTTTTGCTCCTGTCTTTGCCCTTCTTCCCCTCCTGCAGAACAGAAGTGTTTCCTTGCTGAGTGGGAAGGGGCTCAAAGCCAAGAGTTTAGCCTGTGAAACCAAGCTAAACCCTGGGGCAGATCCTGAGAGGCACCGAGCCTCTGCAAACAATGGGGTCCTGGGGACGAGGAGGACAGGCTGTTACCTTCTCCTTTGGAGAGGGTGGTCGAGTAATTCTCTCGGGGATCAGGACTCCGAAGTCACACACCATTGCCACAAGTCTGTCTCCTGCCAAGAGGCTTTCTAGCTTCACGTGTCTGGCCCCCAGGGTCCTCAGGATGGGTGGGTCGCTGCGGAGCTCAGCTGGGGCTTCCTTTTTCTGTTTCGGCTTATCGCTGGGCTTAGCGCCCTGCACGGCACAGATGGGAAAACACGTCCAAGTGCCCTGAGGCTCGAGATGATCATAGCCCCTTGAAAAGGTATCAAGACACCCTGGCAACAACCCCCAAGAGTCCAGTCTTACACACTCGGTACTACAGTCTCAGCTCTCTGCATCCTGAACCAGGACTGAGTGCAAAGGCTGCCATCAGATGCCACCCTCCCAGACTAAGAAGGTGTAGGGGGACTTCAGCAAGAGCTTTGGAAACATGTAAGAGGGTTTTCAAAAACCAAAGCTCTGATTATAACCTGGCCCCTCCAGGGAGGAGGGGCTCAGTTGCGTGTGGGAACAACTTCTGCCAAACAAAGCCCGACAGGACAGAGAAATATGCTCTCATCTTTTTTGGCTCCCATGGCGGGTTTTTTTCTTTTCCATCCAATATGTTTGAAGGCAGCCCCCACCTGGAACCAAAACCATCATATGACCAAGCCTAGCCGTTGTCTCGGCACCCCCTTTGAGGGGTCCTGCAGAAACACAGGTCGTCTCTGCTCTGGGGTGGGGAGCAGTGAGCTTGGAAGCTTTGGTAAAAGTAAACTGGCCTTTTCACCCATATTTCCTTACTCTTTGCAGGGGCCTGTCTTGTCAGCTCAGCCAGTCTCCCATCCTCTTACCTTGGCACTGTCCTTCTGTTTGTCCTTCTCTGCTTTCCCCTTCTTGCTTGCATTTTCAACCGGAGATGCAATAACAGGCCAGGAAAGCACCTATTGAGACATAAGAGCCTGGTTCTCATGCTGCAATATTTGGCCTGTGACCAACACAAGAAGCCCTCCTCTAGGAGAGGGGACTTGTTAACACATACAAAAAAGGGAACACCAGCATTGCAGTTCACAGTTAAGAACTGCTCCTTCCCTTCCCAGCCTGACTTGGTCCCCTGAAACCAGACCGTGCAGGGCATTTACCTTTTCTTCCATAACGGTGACGGTGGTTCCAGCCCGCAGGTAGCCCTTCAGGGCTACAAGATCTGTCACCACATGCTCCTTCCTGTAGCTGCACTCAACAGTTTCTGCCCAGGGCTTTCGAAGGGTTTGGTGTGTGTTTGCTAGGAAAGAAAACACAACCGTAACAATGAAAACAAACCGCCTGTCCACCATTCCTACAGTTAGAGTGCGACTGTAAGCTTCACCCTATCATACTGTCACTATCCAGCTGAATGCAAGGATAGATTCAAAGCAATCCTCAAAGACGTGAGAATCTGGTTTGCGTTCACCTGACTTGTTTGGGCAGCAACACCCACCCTGGATCAGGTGACCCGCTGGAGAATAATACCACCCATTCATTATTTATAGGCCCGGTCTTGATTACGGAGCTGGCTGTGGCCTACACTGCTGGGAACCTTGTTAATGGCAGCGCATTCGAAAGAGGCAGCTGATGACATAGCAAGGAGAATGATGTACGCCCCACGTTTGCTTGACATGAAGGATTTCTCCATTCTGTGGTTACCAGGATTAGCAGACAGCTCCTGTTGCAATAGAGACTGCACTTCATCCCCTTCGTGGGTGTCCCTTTGCGGACTCTTGGGGTATGGTGTAGCCACAGCAGAGCTCTCCTGGAGTTTGGGTACCTATAACAGAAAGGCATGAAAAGCAGCAGTGGGAGAGGCCAAGTGATGGCTGAGACTGCAGCAGGGCACAGCATGCAAGGGGAGGAAGGGGGCAGTGCTGAAATACCAGTCCACAGTCTCCCTCCATCACAAGACCCAGGGAAGGTGCACTGGCAGGCCAGCAATGCTGCACAGGGTCCTCCTGATGTCCCCGGGGCTAAGTCCACATACTTCAATACATAAGAGCACCCCTCTGTACAGGGGGGTAGGTTGTAGCCGTGTTGGTTTACGCAGACAAGGTCCTTTGTGTAAACGTGATATCTTTTATTAGACCGACTCAAATAGTTGGAAAAATTCTTCCTAGCAAGCTTTCGGGTTTAAAAACCCTTTGTCAGGCTGAGGAAGCACCCGCAGATCCAGGAAGAGCTCACACCAACTGCAGATGCTTCCTCAGCCTGACGAAGGGTTTTTAAACCCAAAAGCTTGCTAAGAAGAATGTTTCTAACTATTTGAGTTGGTCTAATAAAAGATATCACGTTTACCCCCAAAACCTTGTCTCAACACCACAGCCTGCTGCAGCAGCAGAGCGCGCGGGGCCGGGGCCGGGGCCGGGCCTGGAGAGGGTCGGCTGGTCTGCACGAGGCGGTGGAAAAACATCAAGACCACATTTGCAGCCTAGCTGTGCATCAACCAGGGCCGCTATGTTACAACATTTTTAGTTCATTACATTTGCACTTTTTATCTTCCTTTTCTCCCTTTCCGGTTCATGGTTTGAAATTTATCTCTGCAGTGAGAAAACCAGAAACGTGCTTTTCTTTCATTTGAAGCTGAGATTCTGGGGTGCTCACAAGCCTCAAGGGCCTGGAGCTTCAAAAGAGGTATTCCAGTGGGTGAAATTTGCAATAGAAATCAGCAGTGCAGCTGCCCCACGCTGTCAGGGACCAAATCTGAAGGGGCGACGGGAAGTTAGTTTCCAGGGCCGAGTCAATCTTTGCTGAGATCTCGAAAAGGAGGCAGTTGTAGGCCCATGTTCTCTGTGATACAGGCGGTGTCCCCTCAGACCTGGGCTGCTGGGAACTCACCAAACTGATTTCACACAGCCCCGTTAACAGCCACTGGATGGGAACAGCTTCCAGTCACTGCTGACCTGGGCTGTGCGACCTGGAGGCGCAAGGCTGCCGATCCCTCTAACCCACCGCCTCCCAGGTCCCTTGATGTATGCTGTAATCCCGGTGTGCACGGACCTCAGCGCTGTTTTCCCCCTCGGCGAACTCATACGTCACATAATAGCTGTAGGCAATCACTGGAGAGTCTAAGCCGCTTTCCAGCTGCTCCAGGGTGGTGGGGCAGGGGATGCCCTGGATTTTTCCCACAGTCACGACTATTTGTGCTTCATTTACCATAAGCTCTGAAAAGAAGACAATCCAACCACTGAGCTGCCAGGGACACGTCCCAAAATAAGTCAGTTAGCACGCAGAGTAAGAGCTCTTTTATGACAGCGACAGAAAATCCTCTGCTTCAGCAACCCATCCCTGCTACCGCAGCCTCCCCATAGCTTTTGGCCTGCTAATGCCATAGCGAGCGTAGGCCACGTGGGGTCACTCACAAGCCATGCAAACAGCTCCTTTTTCTCAAGCACTGGCTTGCTGTGTTCCCAGAGACAGTTTGGCATGATTACCCCGCTTCCAGGAAGCAAACCCAAGTGCACAAGCAATATCCTGAGCTTGAAGGAGGGCTCCTTTGCTGAGGGGAACGTGAACCCACGTCCTGGGGGGTGGGCAGGTGCCTGCACGCAGCTGCCTACACGTGGGGTATTTTCCTACTGAAAGTTGAGCATGTGGGGAAAAGCTTCTCGAGTCAGGACCCTTGTTCTTCACCAACCCACAGGGCGAAAACATGACCTAAAATCACGTACAAGTCTACAGCCCACCAGCTTGCTTATTTCTCAGCCTGGGTCATCGTTCACTTGAGGCGAGGCCGTAATGCTTAATCCGAGACAGCCTACTCCTTGGATAGCAAAAGGCTGATGCTACTAGGAAGGAAGGTTAGCATCTCACAGCAGCCGGGCTGCAGGTCTGAAATCCAGGCGCTGCAGATCCTCGCGTCCAGGCAAACCAACAAGGGTCACCCTCTAGCTAGGCTGTTATGAGGCTGCCAGCCAGGTTGCTGGCCTATGTGCCCTAGTGCAGGAAGGGTTAGCACACTTTCCAAAGTCTGGCAGGGCACAGCTTTGGTGATTACATGCAAGACTCACCCCAACAAAGCTTCTCCCTCAGCCAAAGCAGGCTGCAGGCCCAGAAGCCTTTCCCTCTGCATCTCTCCCTGCAGCCCCTCTGGGGAACCAATTTCTCACCTGCAATTCTTTCCCCATAAAAGTTATTTCAGACACCGACAGCCATGCTCTGATCCCTTCTGCTGGTCTAATCATCCAACAGGGCTGGCTGGCCCTTGCAGGGGTAGATCTACCTGTCACACCACCCATCTCTGTGGTGTCTGATATAGGTGAAAAGTTCCTACTGATGCCACTGGAAGTCATGAGTGTGCAAGGTTCAGCGCAGGGAACACATAGCAACACTGGCCTAGTAAAATCATGGGCTGCATAACGAGTTTCTCATCCTTCTTACGACACACAACTGGCCTTAACACTCAGTGTGATTTAAAAACACAGTGATAAGACATCCCTTCCACTCATTCATTTTAAAGGCACTGGTTAATTAATCCCTGCATATCTGGCTCACCCTGTGAGCCAGATATGCAGGGATAATGATTTTAATTTTCTGGCTTGGAAAACTAAGGCAGAGAGCAGGGGAGTAAACTGAGCAAGGGAAAAGAGGAAGTCATTAACCCCGTTTTCTCAATCAGCAGAGGAGGACGTAGGAGACAGCTCCGACGCTACAGCATCTGCCCTCTAACCAAGAGGTTACCGGTTCCCAATCTGACATCTCCCACTGAGTCCCTTCTTGCATGGAGCGTGTGGCGCAGCAGCTCCCACGCGCTCTTTACTGAAATGATGGTGGGTTGAGTTTGATGAGGGATTCGGGTCACTCTGGGCTGCTTCGGGGGCTGGGCTGGAAAACTTTTCAGGCCCGTTCCAACCCCCTGCTTCTACGGTCAGTGGATTTAGGGGATTCCTGGTCTCATGTTCAATCCGCTCAACCTAGCTGCCTGTTGACAAAAATAAAGATGACTGCTATACTTACAAAACAAAGTCTCACCTGGCTGACTAGACAAACCATAGAAGCGATGCTTCTCATCAGGCAATATGCTCACGTCGTCCAGGATGCAGAGCTTGGGCAGGCTGTCTATGATAAAACCTCTGTAACCAGGAATAAGAGCTAGTGGATTGCCCTGCAGCACGAGGACTCGGAGCTTCCTCAGAGTGGCCAGTTTAGAGACTAGACCCAGCAGATCAGGAAAATTATTAAAACTTAGGTCAAGAGAGAGAAGATTTGGCCTAAAAGGGAATAGAACAAAGGTTAGGGTGCGTGAACCCAACCTAATCACTGGTTGCAGTCTGGAGCATAAGCAAGACTCTGCCTGAAATCTAGTTACCCGTTGTTGTGTTACACGCCTCACCCTATGGCCACAGTTTGCAGCTCCTATAGAAATCAGCTGGATTCAAGTAGAGAGCCTAGCACTTACATCCTCCATCTGCCAGACTCCTGTGCCATCCAGGCCACGATGCGCACAGGATACGCATCATGTCAGTGAGCTAGTGCGCTGTGTCCTTCAGCAGCACAGGGTCTAGTCCTCACATACCTACTCAGGGGAGACTCCCATTAAATATTGCAGGAAGCCACGTGTATAAAATGCTAGCTGAAATGAGAACCAAGGAACAACTGCCCAATCAGACCCATGGTCCTGTCTACAGCAGAGATCAGTACCAGCTGGTCTAGGGGAAGAATTGCAATCCCCCTCTTCCAGTGAAGCAACCTGCCCAGAGGGGAACCAGTTTCCTAACCCCCCCTCACTGAGTGCCATTGTTAGCACTTATTGAGCTGTACCACTAAAGTGCCTCAGAGCTTTCCTCATGGCATACGTTCTCCCAGTATGCCAGGTGATGTACAGACATCAGAATAAGAGATGGGACTACAGTGGTCAGCATGACAAGCAGTAGTCTCTGTACACCAGCGGCCTAGCTGTTGTCAAACTGCAGGCATCGGGGCAAAGGAGTTAGTAGGTGAGGTTAGTATTTCACTTCTACATTACTGCGGTGCTCTCTGCTTGCTAGAGTTACTCAGATTTGAAAAAACAGTTCGAATCACAGTGAGCAGGCGCAGATCCCAATGCATTGCCTTACACCAACTATTTTAACCGCTGCCGTGATCACTGCTCAGCCTGTGGAGTTACCAGAACTGTCCAGTGAGATGCTCATCCTCCGACGAGCCAAGCAGGTTGTAGCCCAGCCCCAAGTGCTGGAGCTGTGGTGGCGGGTGAGAGCACAGATCCTGCAAAGCAACTATCTTGTTGCCGCAGAGCTCCAGGACCTGCCAGGGAAAGAAGAAGGATCAGCTGGAGGATTGGGTGCTTCGACGCTGCTGTTTTTTGGTGCCCTCTTCCCACCGCTGCTTTCAGCACAGCCTGTCACTGCCATGTGTTAGACGGGAGAGGGGCTCGGCCTGTCCTGCCTCCACTGCCTTACCCCAGAAGGATGCATAGGCTCCAGGTTGCTTACTTTCAGCGTTCTCGGGAGGTTGGCGGAGTTTATTTTGCTGATTTTATTCGCACTGAGCACAAGCTCTTCTAGGTTCTGAAACTTTAACAGCTCCTCATCCACTTCGCTCACCTGGAAAGAGATTCAAATTCACCTTCAGCTGCCTGTCTCTGATGCACCGACACGTACATCCTAGCACCGTGATGCAAACACGCAGGGCAAACGCTGGGGCCTGATGCTGTAGTCCTTACGCTGGCAACACCCCCCCTGGGTTCGGTGGGTGCATACTCTGATTTTGCTCCCTGCGGGCCACGTAACACGCCTGACTGCACATACTGTGCTGGGGTGCTGAAGTTAACGTGGCTTTGCCTCGGTGGGAACAGCAGCATCACAGCCACGCTTCGTCCAAACCCTGGGGCAGAGCCGGAGAGCGCTGGTCTCCTGCCGCTCCCACTGCACTCAGTGGAGGCTGTCGGCACTCGGCACCAGCACAAAGGCTGCTTTGTGCTACAGCCGTGTTCACCCAGCACCCATCCCGAGTCAGCGCTCCTAGGGCCAGCACGGCCGAGACCTCGGGAGTCCCCGGCTCCCCGCCTTACGCTCAGCTTCTCTATGCCGAGATAAGGGAAGATCCCAGTGGCTGCACTCACTCCTTTGTCCACGAGCCGCAAGGATGTGAAGAACAAGAAGATGAAGCTGTCCTGGATGAGCTGTGGGGACTGCACAGCCAGTTCCTTCAAGTGCTGGTCCTCAGGGCTGCAGCCAGGCGGCAGGGCCCACGGCGAGCCCTGGCTGCTCACAAACTCCATTAAAGCCTCCAGGCTCTCCTCACCAGGAACGTCGGCCTCCTCGCCTGGGGCTGCGCCTGCCGCTCTTCGGGCCACGTGTCCATGAGGTGTCTTTTTCCTTTACTCGAACCAGGATTTGTTCTGCGCGGGACAAAAAGGGGGCAGAGGAGCATGTCCACAGGGGAGCAAGGACAGAGAGACTCCCCGGGGCTGGGGCTGAGCCATCCCGCCTCCGTGCCGCTGTGGGGCGGGGGGCTTAACAAGCTACATCCACCGGCTGCAGGTGTGTGAGGCTGCTCTCCCCAGGGGCCTCCAGGATCCACGAGGGCAGCCCCTCTCCTGGACAGCCTAGTCTGTCGCGGGTTAAAGGGGCTGGATGCAGCTTTCCGGGGAGCAAAGGGAATCCCTTCTACGACCCCGAGCCCTCTTTGGGGAGAGCCTCAGCCCGGGGGAGCCTGGGCGTGGGTGCTGCCAGGTTTGCAGGCAGCTGCAAGACGCAGTGACGGGCTCCAGCCCTTACCCAGCTCCCGGTGCCGCAGGGGAATTCCCACAGGTGCAGCCGGCGGAGGTGCGCCCTGAAGGCGGCCGAGGCGCAGAGGCCGGCCATGGGCAGCGCCCGACCGAGAGCCACACGTGGCTGCGATGTCGTGATTCCCACGGTCTGCAACAGCACCGCGTCCTGGTTGCTAAGAGACAGACTTGGTTGCTGGCCAACGCCGGTGCTAGTGTTCCACGCGCTCCCAGCCCCGAGGATGCACCGCTTTGCACGCTCGGGCCAGCTGTGCACGCACATTGCAGCTGCAGCCCTGCCTGCCTGTGCACGTCTGCACACCTGTTGGCTTGTACGGCTGCAGGAAGACACTATGGACAAACACCCCCGGCCGCACCCCGCGCCCGTGATGCTTGTGGAGACACACGGCTGGGCTAAGCAGCTGCTTCCCCGCCTCCTTGCTGTGCCCAAGTGGGGTGAGCTAGGCCACCTGGCAGCACAAGGGAACAGCAGTTCTGGGCACTGAAAATCCCCCGGGGTGATTTCTAGGATGGCCACAGGCTCCATCTGGCTCAGCGTGCACTAGCCTGTAAATAATTGCCCGGCGAGTGCCAGGAGATACAATGATGAAGGCACAGAGCAGGCCTGTGACCACTGCACTGCCTTACTCTTCAAGGGCAAAGCAGAGCTTTGGGAAGAAGGTGTTTTTCCCCTCTTCATTTTCACTTTCTTCATTATGCTGGACTGAGAACAAACCAGCTTTCCTGGAGTTGTATCCGTGTCCAGCGAAGCCTGGCCCGAGTTCTGCGGCTCTGATCCCAGCTCTTTCGTGGGCTCTCCCTGTGGATTTGAGCCAGCCACTGCATGTCTTTGCACCTGCATCTTCCCATCTGTAACACTCCTGCCCCCACAAGGTGCATGGGGATCAACTAATTGATGTCTGCACAGGACTACCTCCCTCATTGCAAACACTGCAGCGCAGCCCTTGTAAGAGGGAGTGTTCTCTGGCTCGTTTATTTGTTAGTGGTGGCTGGTCCCCTTCACCCATCTGCTTGCTGAACGTTGCTCAAATTTCTCCTTGTAAGGAGAAAATTATTTCTAAAAGTTAGTGAAACTTTAGCACCTCTTGCATTTACACAACAGCTTCAGCTTCTCCCCTTGTCACCCATCTCACACACAAGCTTTTAATTATTGTTAAAACTTCAGCAGCTCAAGTTTCCAATCGCTCTGGTGTATGCGCCACTTAAACTGTGGAACACCGAACTTCCATTTGCACTGGACAGATGCTGATCTGCCGCCTTATCAGCACAACTGAGCATTGCTTATCACTAGCACGCACTGATAAGGAAAGGATGTGTGCAGGCACATGTGCACACACATGCACGCACACACATGCACAAGATAGTTGCCTGGGGTGGTACAACTGTGCAAATGGAAAATCCCAACTCCTATGGGAAATGCACTAAAACCTAATATAACCACTGAGAAGCAGAGTTACAAGTCAGCGGCAGAGGGGATTTCTTGCATGGAAAGCCATTCTTTTTATTATATATTACCACCAGTGCTGGGAATCCTAGTCACGGTCCAGGATCCCCTTGTGCCAGGTGCTGTACAAATAACAAAAAGGCCATCCCTGATCTCCAAAGCAAACCAGACAGGAGTTGGGCTGCTGATGTGCCGACCAGAACCGTGTCATTGTGTCTCTGCACTCGCCACTGCCCTGTAACCATCTGCTGTCTCTTCTCTCGCCCTCAGGTCGTAAGTTCTGCATAGAAGAGGTTGCTTTTCCTATGCTAGTACAACATCCTGTGGTCCAGCACTACTGCTCCTAGGCATTACGGCAATACAAATAACGATCATCGTTGAGGTATGCTATAATACAGGCAGACACGGGAGTGCAAGGAAACAGAGAGACAATATCGGACGGCTTCATTGACGATGGTCTTAGTTCCCGTAAGTGGAACAGGGACCTGATTACGTGAGGTGCACCCTAGTGATTCTACCAGGAGATCCTCATCCTGTGCTGCAGAGCAAGGCAATGGCCCCAGCTCTCTATCGAAGTCCCTGGTGATCAGATCTTGAGGAAAAGTCTTCCTGACTCCAGATCAAAGCTTCAACACTAAGCTTGTGAGCAAGGCTCACCAGCCAAACACCTAACAGGTAGGATTCGTAGTACCACCTCAAAACACCTGTCCACCCAAACCGATGCCGTTCCTCCACCTCTCCCTCGCGAAGAAAGGTTGGGGAAATACAACTTGTCAGTTGTGCCTTGGGGGGGGAAAAAATGACAGCAGAGTAATAGTAATTCCACCTGCTTATGCTAATGTAACAGAGAGATTATTTTTTCCGCTGTAACTTGCACCTCTCTTTCAACCTTGGTGATTTCCATTCTCTGGAAGCCATACTTTCGATTCCATATTCGGGGCCCTCTGGGGTCACCTACGCAGAAACCTTTTCTTTTGGTGATGAGCGAATTGGGAGGGTCAGCTCATAAGCGTAAGTATTTTCCAACAGGCCCTGGAGCTTATCTGTTCAGCTCTGAGGCACACTAGCCCTCGAGTTTGGGGTCACATTTTCTCATTTGGGGAAAATAGAAAGATTGATAACGCTGACACTGAAGGAAAATCCTTGCTGCTCACCTCTGGTTTCTTATGAGGTTTTCTTCCACTGGTTATCGGAGTCTAATCTGTCACTTCCTCTCCCCTGTCACAGATTCATTTTCCTTTACTTTCTTTACATCACTTAATATTTTCACATTTAGCATTATGATTTCAAGGAAACTTGACTACCTTTTTTCAGTCCCCCATGGCAGTTTTTCAGTGCCCTTTTCAGGGGTCTATTGGAGAGAGAGCTTTTCCCTGAGGTACTCTCACAAGGCTGAAAGCAGCATGACCCTGCAACAGATTCAGACCAAATGAAATGGCACATTGTGTGTGGGAGAATGAAAGATCCAGATTCCTTCCACGCATCGGGGAAACCCCTGGTTAGGGTCACACTGATCCGATAAAAGCTGCTTCAAATCCGGTTCTTATTCTGATCCTGAATAAATGGGTTCAGCTGGTGACACTTGGACACTGGAGGTGACACCTTGGAATCTCCAACCTTGGGTCACTTCAATGACGCTCCCGTTGAGTACTTTGATTAAAACTTTCCGGCGGGTCAGGGGAGGTAGCAGTGTAGGAGGTGACGAGGTTTGCAAGACCTCAAAGGTATCATGGCTCTATGCCCTGTTGAGTGATGTGATCTTCCATGATACATAGATCAGGCTTCTTTCTCCAGGTGAGGATTTACCTCTATAGTTCTGCTCTGAATGAGAACTTCCTGAGTCCTGCCTTATTCATCCGGACAACTGGATTAATCCACCGGATATATACCTCATGATGTGACTAAAAGGACTATGGGCCTGATAGTGGTCCCGTATACGCATATAGCTTTGTTTGGTGGCATCATTTTGGGTTTAGACGAAGATGCAATCTGGATCAGGCATTGTGTGTTCCACTCACTGGTGCTACATTCAGTAGCTATAGCAAGCCTTCCCCTCCATATAAAATCTAATGTTGCCTCAAAATATACCACACAGACTGTTCCATTCATGAAAAAGATGGCAAGATCATACATGAGAGGCGGAGGTGGAACTTGCACTTTGTTAATGGGTGCATGGATTTTGGTGGCACTAATACCCCAAGCAAAGGACTGCTTAAGAAGCTCTCTGACTATGGGAGCAGCAGTATCTCCTAAGGGTACAGGATAGCAAGCCAGGAACTCCTGAGTTCTAGTTCCGGCTATGCCACTGTTTTGCTTTTTGGGACCTTGAACAACGCTTGTGCTTCAGTCTTCACCTAGCAAATGGATGCAATCCTTACCCATCTTGCAGGGAAACAAAGTCTTTTAGTTCAGTCACACTTGTTAAGCACAGGTTATTGGACAGAAGCTGCCGTGCTAGCGCAGAATATTAAACTGCACATTGCAATAATGCTTGACAAAGATACAGCATTTCTCAGCTAAGGAGTTCAAAGCACCTTAGGAGAGATATTAGTGAATTCAACAGTCACCCTTTCTGATTATCATGCCCTTTTCACAAATAGCAAATTGTTCAGGGGGCTGGGGCACAATACTTGTGAGGAGAGGCTAGAGGAACTGGGTTTATGTATTCTGCAGAAGAGAAGACTGAGTGGGGATTTGATAGCAATCTTCAGCTCCCTGCACGGGGGTTGCAAAGAGGGTGGAGCTGGACTCTTCTCAGTGGGGACATATGACAGGACAAGAAGCACTGGGCTCAAGCTGCAGCAAGGGAGGTTTAGGTTGGATTTTGGGAAGGACTGTCTCAAGAGGAGGGTGGGGAAGCACTGGAACAGGTGGTGGACTCTCCATCCTTGGAGGTTTTTAAGGCCCCGCTTGACAAAGTCCTGGCTGGGATGATGTAGTTGAGGCTGGTCCTGCTTTGAACAGGTGGCTGGACTACTAAATGACTTCCTAAGGTCCCTTCCAACCCTCACTGTCTGCGATTCTCCAAAAACCAGCACTGGGAGATTGGCCCAAGACGATGAGCAGCGCCGGGATCAGAACCAGAGAGTTCCAAACTCCTAGTCTGTGTCCCCGACTGTGGGACGTTCCCTTCCTTAACCTGAAGATACCAATCGCTTCAGAAACTTGTAGTCAAGATTTGATCTTGCTTATCATAAAGGAAACTACCAATGTTAGGAAACTGCTTTTCACGCTGACGTATAGGGCAACATTTTTTTATAGCGCTAAAAAATGTAGATAGAATTTAAATACTGTTCTGTAATCCATGGCTCACACACACAACCAAGAATTGCTTGAAAACTGAAGATAGCCAGTGTTTGCTCTGCTCGGGCGCTCGTTTGTCTCATCTGCCATGAAGTTCCTGACAGGTTTGTTTTAATTTTACTTTGCTATGCCCTATGTTTCTTGTTAAGCACTGACCAAGTTTGAAACTGCTAACAGGCTGAAATATGTGTGCTTTAGCAGGCTTGGTAAAAAGTGGAAAAGCAGAGATTGCATGAAAGATGTATTTAGAGGTGTTCAATGGCATTAATTGTATTTTTTTCGTCCTTGTACACAGAAATCATTGGGTTCACCATTGTCTTTGGACTGATTAGCGGAAGAACAATCTTGTCAACAACAGATAAAGATCGAGAACGGGATAGGAAACTGGAACCCCTAGTCCAGCTTAAGAACAAGGCATCCCAACTGTTCAATTTATATGTAAGTATAATGTAGTTTTTGGTGTTTATTTTTCCAAAAAGCTCTCTAATATCTTATAATAACTTAAGACAATTTGA